GACTTGTATTGTTATTTACAATATTCAACGCTGGACTCAACCCTAATCTGAAACGTCAACACTGTGATAACGGAGCCTTAGATCATTAAGATGGAATTGACATCCATGCAGTGTTGAAGCCATTGTTTTTTACAGCACTCGCCTTCATGCCTTGACTTACAGAAATGGCTCTTTCATGCAGACATACACTGTTAAATTACCTGCTGTGAAACAAGCAAGGATACACAAAAGCAGTGAAAGCTTTATTTGAGGATAGGTAAAGCATCACTGATAATCCTCAGGCATGAAGTAATCTGAGTATGTGGATTACCGGTTTGAAAACACTTCCTCGAGTACTAAAGTAGGAAGCCATGATGACCAAGTGGCAACTATGTGTTTTTTTCCCATTTTAGTCAGTTGCTCACCGTTCACTCTCAGAGGTGTTACATGTCTCATTAAACTCTTGCTCTTTCATTTTAGGTGCATGAAATCAATTCCAGACAGCTTCCTGTGAATCCATTTACATCACAACCCTTGATACCTTACTGGATTTCACTCATTAGATTTGATAAGGGAAGGAAAACCTGTGCAGGGAAGTGTATAGTTCCTAAAGGGCCAATATCCATGAACATCATACCACCAGTGGGTGGCCATGCTGCCTGATTACCTATTTTCCTAGTCAAATCAGAACTGATCATCACGTTTTTTATTATTATACATGTCACAATTGTTTAGATGACCGCTTTGCTTAGGCTGTGGTTAATCTGTTAGTGCAAGTAGGGGGAATGTTAACACTTCATATTTGTTCAGATTTTACCCCATTCAGTCGGCTAAATATTTATGTTTAATCTCCATTTATGTCACAAACCAGCTCAAGATACAGAAAAGGAAAAAAAGACCATACAGACAACTGAGAAATGAATTTAAGACAAACACGGCTCAGTGGTGTAAGGTGAGGCCATAAAATCATAAAAAAAAAAAAACAAAGCACAGAAAGAACATCAAGCAGAGTCATTAAAAACCATCACAAATTAACCGATATCTTACTAATCTGCAGCACACCATGCTTCCATTTAGGCAAGGTTCACATGGGCTTGTTAAAAAAAGCATTTTTAACTGGGTTACTATTAATCTTTGAGCCATTACAAAGGGAAACTTAGTAAGGTCTTTGTTGGAACATATCAAACATGAAACTCTGACTGCTGCCACACCTCATCTGTGAGTCAGCGACTTCTATCATTGTGATGTGTACAGTGACAGCTGCTGCAAAAGGTCTATGAGCTCTATGATCAGGTTTTAGATGTGCAAATTGACTTTTCCATTGCAGCTTTCTTGCATCATGCTTCTGTGCCAAGTTTATTTCTTTCTTAGATTAAATCATTTCTTTCAACAACTCAGCAATCTTTTTTCTACACACTGGGCTCTGCTCATAGTGAGTGAAACCAACCCTTGTCTATTAGGAGATTTACACATGTCGAGGAAAAAATATAACTAAAAGTGGACTCCTTACTTAAGTCCATATACAGCTTCCAAGACTTAATGGGTCCGGCACTTAATCTAAACAACCAAAAGCACTTGCCCTTTTCCTGATGGGTGCTCCAAGTGTTCTTTTCTTGAGGTAAATTTTTATTTATTTATTTATTTATTTAATGTGTGTGTATGTGGAGCCCTGCCTGTGCCCCTCAAAAATAACATTTGACTATTAATCACAATTTTGCTAAATAAAAGGTTCTGGTTTGCATCAGTCACATGACTACCATTAACCAATGCTCACCGTTAATGGCAGAGCATACTGGTTATGAGCCGGAAATGAGCTCGCAAAGAGCATGCACATTTTTTGCCACCTGGGCGGTGCGCAGTTGTAGTATGATGAGATTCCATATTAGATTCCTGATGAATGTGGGTTGTTGTTATTCAGCCCGGTTCTATCTGCCCCTTTTTAACTGGAGCACCCGCCCCTTCAAACATCTCTGCACAGCCCTGAAAGCAGGGTATACTTTAGGGTGTTGATACAGTGAGCTAGAAAAGCCAATATCACATGAGCATACATTGTCCTTAGGGATGATATCTGCTTCTGATGAAACCAAAATGTAGGTACATCCATAATTTATTTGCAGTCTTTGGTTATTCATAATATCAGTAAACAATAATATCTCCTTACTTGTAGGCGATGAGTGCAGGGAAGCTAGTAACAGACACAGTAGCCAACTGTTCACACTAAATAACAGTCGTCTCAATGGACAGACTAGATGCACTATTAACCAGGTGTCAGGAATTGGACTGGGGCACTGTTACAATGGCAGGTGGAGTGAGGAAGAAAGGATGATGAATCCAGCCCAGGTCAGGATCTTGCTAACACAAGTTTGCACATAAGGACTCAAAAAGGTTAGCCACACAAAAAGAGGAAATGTCAAGCCATCAAGGGCTCTAACAAATAGATGCTCTGCTTTTCCACCACAGCCATTTCTACTTGCTACTTCCCTCCACTCTGTTTAGCAGCTGTGTGATGGGTTTGCACGATGAGTCTGTAGGGATTAGACTCCCAGATAAGGGGGCAAGTAGCCAGTTAATGTGAAATTCCATCAAGCCAAATTCATGCAAATGACCCCAGCTGCAAAGGCTTACAGAACAGCCTTACTCTACACACAAGCAGACACACACTTTGCTTGACAAAGTATGTGCATATGCAATCCTGCACACATGCATGCTCACATGTATTCTTAACAGTAGCCGACACGTTCTTAACGGGAACGATAATGGTCTCATCCTTGTGTCTCTCCATTTGCTAATGTCCCATATGTGCTCACTTGCTAGAAATGAGCTCTTCTGCCTGTCTTCATTCTGTTCACTGCACTGCAAATGGCAAATGTGTCCCTTATGTAGAGATATAGCATCTCGCTTAAAGGAAAAGCGTAAACCTCATTCCTATCCTCAGTTTTAGAATGTTGAAGACAGGACAGAAAGGTTTTGAGCTGCCTTGGAGTTTGAATTTACAAGTGAACTGCACACAGAGTACCAGAGCAGCGTAACAAGACCACAGCAACAAAAAAAGCAAATGCTGAATACACAATTTGGATGCAAAAGAAAATCTATTTAAATATTCAATTAATTTGTCCTACTTTATATTTTTTCGCCTCTTTTCTTCCTTTTCTCCAAGAAGTGCGAAACATTGGAGAAGCTGTCTGACAACATTGAAAGTTGTGTTAAATAAAAGCAGACAAGTCTGCCTGAACACCCAGTGGAGGAATAAAAGATGAGAAGCAACTTCTTCCATAACTTCCCCTCTCATCTTTCCACTCGCCATGTTGGATGATGCAGTAATAACGCAGTAAAATCTGGAGATTGTTCTCAAAAGGTTGACAGATTAACATGAAATGAAAAAATGACAAATGAATAAGAGGAATCTGTCAGCACGGGAAAATAATTTCACATTATTTGGTTTCAATATGGGAATATATTGAAGAATTTATCAAATATGCCTAAAGTAAGTGGAGAGATGCAACTTCCCACCAAGAAAGCCTTACTGTGCAAATTATGATCAATGCAATGTCTAATATCTGTTTGATTCACAGTTTGTCTGCATTTATGTAGTTGCCTAAGTGGTCTCGAGTGCCTCATGCTGTAAATCTGGACCCTTTGGACCCCGTCTGGAAACATCTAAGTTATGTTTCACAAATGTTTTCTACTTTGCTTTTTTCCACCTTTGTTTCCACATAACCCCCAACCTCAATTTTCTTTTTCCTTCTGCTCTTTATCATACCCCATTTGATATGTGTGTCGTGCTTTGTTTTATCTCCCTCTGAAGAATAAAGACACTGTGGCAGGCCTGCAGACTCCCCATACAGCTGCTATATAAAACCTTGATTCCTCCACCAAAGTGCAGACTACAACAGGAAATGGTTAAAGCTTTCATTTTGAAGGCTTTTCTTATCTTTATGTGCTCAAGCTCAACGAACCGCACATTTAAAATCGTATCTTATTCTATTCTAGTTACAACATGAATGGTGAAGGGCAGCCTCACATTACTTGTCTTGTCAAGAGACTGTTTTCTCATTTTAACAGTCATAGGACACATGGGGGTCATAAAGGTTGGTGCTTAATGTGAACCTGTAATAGCACATGAGCCATATGACACTTTATCAAATCAATAGGTCTCCCAGGACAGACACAAGGACAAAACTATCTGTGAAATGACCTTTGCTAACATCAGGTGATTCTGTTTCAAATGGTTTAATGACACATCATCTTCTGGCACAGGGATTAAATTTAAATGTGTATATACATAAATAATCCCATTATGCTACAATAAGGATCTGCTCTGGTTGACTTTCAGGGTGTTTATGATACAAAACTATATTTGTAATTCTTTCCTGTAAGCTTTACACACACACACACACACACACACACACACACACAATCTCATGTCCCCTGGTGTGAATATCACCTAAATAGTCTAGTGAGCAGGGAAGTTTTTAGTGCATGAGGAGAGGAAAAAAAAAAAGCAAATCTTCAGGTGATGCATGTTTGACTTTACTTTCTGCTATCAAAAGTGATCAACTTTCAGAGGAAATGCTGGGTACTATACAGAAGTAAGACACTCCAACAGATAAGAGTTACACCAGGAAAAGTGATAGCATGATTGCAGCATTTTAAAAAAAAAATTTAAAAAAATCTTGGAGATAATTTTCAGCAACATTTTTTAAGCTTTATCTAAAGCTCTTCTTTGTAGGTTTTATTTGCCCATCTTTCACATATGGAATTATTAATGAGTCAGAGGTTACATATAGAAGACAGTGTAAATTCCAATAGGTTCATGAATGCAGCGCCATCTGGTGGTGATAGGAAGCACTTTTCCAAGACTAGGTAATTTCTGTTGACAGCGACAAAGCAGAGACATCTACAAGTGAAGCCCCATCTTTCACTTGTACACAGAAATTATTGAAAATACAAGCTCACATAAAATCAAGAACTTCATCCCACAGACAGTGTGAAACTGAGGAAATGCAATTTTCCATTTAAACTTTAAAACAAGGTCAGTAACATACAGAAAAGTCAGTTTCATGACATTTTTTGCCATAGGAAGGGACTCGAAATTGGTTCAAAGTTACCCAATACTTCAGAAATGCATGTCTTCGTGTATCCTGGTATGCTTTTCGTGTACATTGCAAAAAACAATTACATGGCAGTGGAGGCTATTAAGGCCTGAGCCAAATAAGCTTTCTCACTTTACACACTGGTCAGATTCAAAGGTAAGAGATGTGTTAACTGCAGAAAAACAAAACAAAGGGCTACTTCTTAACCTCTCTATTAACCACAACTTAGTGAGTCATGAGCAAATCGGAATAAATCTTAACATAACTATTCCTACAAGCCCCATTTAGATGCCTGCACTGCATAACTTGATTTTGGCACAACAAAAAACAAAACAAACAGGCTCAGTCAAGCTACTTAAATCTCAAGTCTACACTCCTGACCTTCAGACTAATTTCAGTGTCAATTTATTTGCCTTTAGCGTGTACACCTGTAGAACAGGCTATCACACCTCATTAAACCACACTTCAAATATCAACAGTCATGTTGATACAATATAAGAGAATTTCCTTCACCATGAACAGTTTAACATCACATACAGCATTTGACCTAAGACAATCTGTAACATCTCCCTTTCTCAGTTGCCATCGCCCGCCTTGTCCTTGCTCTTGTCCCGTGGTATGCGGCCCAGGTTAAAAAATTCCATGTTTGGCCTCATGTCTGTGAGATGGGCGAGCCTGTTAGACATGGCAAAGAAAGCAGCAATGGCGGCTATGTCCCAGGCGTCCTCGCGGTCAAAGCCCGCTTCCTCCAGAGATTTAAAGTGCTGCTCTGTGATGGTGTCGCAGCGACACACAGCCATGGCAAAGTCCAGCATGGCACGCTCCCGAGGGGCCAGGTCAGCATTTTCATAGTTCACAATGACCTGGAGAAAACAGAGCACCAATTAGACCTACAAGTGTGTTTTGCTGATTTATGGCAATTAAGAAAAACCAAACAGGAAGGTCACATGCAAACAGCATCTGTATTAGAAAGTAAAAAAGAGATGTGACAGACAGCCTAGTTTTAATTTTGCACATCACATAATGAGTGTATATACAAAATACCTTAAAACACCTTTGTTATAATTACCGGATTTAAGATTATACCTGATCACAAAGTGTGGGGTTCTTTGAGTAGATGCGATGCAGAGCACCGTGGGATACCACACAGTACAGACACCTGTTGTAGATACTGGTTGCCACTACAATCAGCTCACGGTCTGCCTTGGTTAATCTACCTGCAAAACAATTGATATTTATAACTATTGGAAAAATACTGAGTCAAAATTACATTTACTGCATTTAAGGAAAAGGTGCAAACACTTCTCACAAACCTGTTCAAATCACAATCCTGTCCTGTACTAAAAGACTGAAGTGAACCTGATCTAGCTAAAGTTTTACCAATAAATCAGTACACCTGAACAATCTTAGGCGCAATCTCAACTCTGTTTAGAATTAAAGCCAATCTGCTAGACTCTCAGGCTGTGGTGCATTGTTCAGGACAGATTTTATTTTAGATGTACAGACTTGCAAACAAAAGGCTAATACAAATATGCCTACACCCGGAAAAGTTAATTTACATTGTAGCAACAAAATAGCCAAACAGTGCAAATGGCAGCGATTGTTAATATTAGTGCTGGAACGAGCCATTTCCCACATTGCATGAAGTTTACGTCCCATCTTGAAGGCTTCTCATTAAAAAGAGAATTTTTAACTTTCTGTGAAAGATAATTTGCTGGCGCTGTCCCATTTCTAAGCTACTGAACATTTCTTTTGGACAAACAGTGACTCAGGTTACACATTACCAAAATGATCTGAAATGAAAATAAACACAACTGAATTTTAAGTCAAGAAAAACAAAACAACCCCTGTTACAGGAATACTCCACAAATATATTGCAGTTGTGATTTCATCATCAATCCCCTGCAGTGCACGCAAGTATGAAAAGAGCTCATTTTACGTATTGCCTAGTATTCATTCATACTAGGCAATATGATGCATTCTTCTTAAAGGTAGCTGCTAAAAATGCATACCAAATCTGCAGCTCTCCTTACTTTTAAAAAGCAAGGCTGGTGCACACAGACAAATAATGGCTTATGGATTCATTGAACCCAGAGTGCTATAGATATCCTGGAATGTGACAGGATTTACATGTGTAGTTTTGCAAGGGATGCAGGTTTTGAATTTTAGAAATGCTTTTCTGAAAGGAACAATTCATAAACAGGTCACGACTACATGGAGTCAGGAAATCTAACATCCATCCACCCACACTTTGGCCAATTTAGACTCACCAATTAACCTAACCTCACTAAAGGGTGTCTTTGAAGCCCGAGTGCCCAGAGAGAACATCCAAACGCCACACAGAAAGGCCCTGGACCTCCCTGCTGTGAGGCGACAGTGCTAACCACCACACCACTGTCTGTCTCACACTCTCACTCACACTCACACTCACACTCTCACGACAATAAACTCCAAAGACTTTCTCATCCCTACTGAAACTACTAAGTTGTGTCACCATGGTTCATGTCAGTCTGGGTGTTGTGTTTCTCAGTGGGAAGAGTGGGGCCATTACTGAAGTGTGTGCGCACCTTCTGGGGCCTAACGTTTCCCAGAGTTTGTCAATTCCATTGAATCTCAGACAAAAACGCACCTGCTGCTAGAAAAAAAAGACACACAGCACACAAGCACACCTGTGTCCTTGTTCATCAGTTCGTTGTAGTATGCAAAGAAGGCTCTGAACTCTGCCGGTCTGTGAGACAGAACTTTGAAGACATTGGGCAAAAATCCTCCCTGTAAGGAAACACAGGTTTAATGGGGAGCAGAATCAAGTTCAGCAGACTTAAAGACCTTGAACGCCTCATATGTAAACCTTTGATTCCACTTCTTCCATAAGCTCCACTATATCATACGGCAGATCTTTCTTGTAAGGAATTGGGTATCGGCTGATTTTCTCTGGTGGAGAGCCACTGGAGGAACATCTGGTACACATCGCTGCTGCCACCTCCCCCTTCCCCCGTAACAAGCAACCTGAACGGAGAGACACCTGCAGGGAGGACAGCGCAGTCACGTAAAACCACCCATAAAGTGCACTTTCTACAAAGTGGAAAAGTGTGGAACAACTTACAAGCTGTGTCAGATGAGGGCGGAACAGCTTCGAGACGAGGTTACTCGCCATGTCAGTCAGCAGAAACTGGAGGCTGGTGTGAGATTAATCTGATCGTCAGTCAGCTACTGCTGTATCCAGGCGGAGTGGTTTTCAAGGAAGTCAGACTAACTAATCCTTAAGAGGCACAAAGTTAGAGCTAATGTCGCTAAGTTAAGCAGGGATATTTACCTATCCAGCTTTAAGTCGACTTCACAGTGCGTCACATTACACAATAACTGAAGCAGTATTTACCATTAATCAGCTATCGTGTTAGCAAATATCTCGTTTTTGCTTCGTTTATATGTCAGACGTTAACAGTCTCGTGGAAAACAAACCAATCAAAACCCAGTATGGAGGCACGCCTGCTGCACGTCCACACCCTCACGCACTAGTCCTCCTCACCGACAGGGGTCAGTCTGACTGGATTGAAAAGGTTAGCCTGATTGCTGTGGGTCGTTTAAATAGTTAATTAAGCGATGCGTAGATAAGGCAGATAAAATATTTAAATTGTTATTATATTTATTGTTTAACTTAACTTGTGATTATTACATTTAACTTTAGTGTCTATCAAAATTAGAGAAGAACAGCGATACGCTCCTGAGAGACAGAACTGAGGGCAACAACTTCCCACATCGACTTCTGACTCGGAAGTGACTTTGTTAGGCACAAACGAGCGGCTGGTTTTCATTCAATACACGAAAAAACATATTTTAGAAAATATAATAAAACGATTTTTGAGTTGGGACTAAACGTAAACAGACCGAAATGTTTTACCATGTAAGTATTTGTATTGCTCTCTGTATATAATCGCTAACAGCAGTCTGGTTCTGTCGTTGATACGAGTTTGGCTGGCGTGCTTGTAGCTACTGTAGCTTTGTAAAACTTTATCATATACCCTTAAATGCTGTTATCACTGTTGCGCTTTTATAGACGTGTGGAGATGCTACAAGTGTTTTTTCTCTTGTTTTTGAACGGCAGCAGAATAGCTTGAGCAGTGACGTTGTCCACGGCAAGCTAATTTACAAAAGCCTTGTTTTCAGATTTCTTTGGAGCACGAAATCTTACTACATCCGAGATATTTTGGTCCGAATCTGCTGAACACCGTGAAGCAGAAGCTCTTCACAGAGGTCGAGGGGACCTGCACTGGCAAGTGAGTGACTCTTGTGTTTGACTTAAAAATAGTTTAAAACAAAGGCTAAAAAGAAGCTGAAATTTGACCAGTGGCTTCTGGAAAACTGGGCCACAGATGGAGGTTATTTTGCAATTTAAATAATTTGTTTAATTCTGTCTTGCAGGCATGGCTTCGTCATTGCCGTTACCACCATTGACAACATCGGTGCTGGCGTAATCCAACCAGGCAGAGGTTTTGTCCTCTATCCAGTCAAATACAAGGCCATTGTCTTCCGTCCGTTTAAAGGAGAAGTTGTGGATGCAGTGGTCACTCAGGTTAACAAGGTGAGGGGCAGGTTTAGAGTCTTAAAACACAGTTTTCATACCATGCTGTAGGAAAGTATTTGCCCCCTCTCTGATTTCTTAGTTTTTTGTTTGTTTGTTTGGGGTTTTTTTTTGCATTTTTGATAATCAAAAAAAATTGTATCAGAGAGAGGGTTAATATTTAACTTGAGTAAATACAAAATGCAGTTTTAAATGAATTCCTTTATTAAAGGGGGGGGGGGAGCTATCCAAAACCTAGTTGGCCCTGTGTGGAAAATAATTCCTGCTACATTTTAAATCCTAAATTAAATATGACTAATCGTTTTGGAATTTAATTTTTTTTTTGGAAAGTTCAGTTTCACTATCCACACCCAGGGCTGATCACTGTCAAATCTGTTGACTCAAGTACTCACTTAACTTGTTGGGATTTCTATGTTTGTTTGTTTGTTTGTTTGTTTTTACCTTACAAAATAAAGTGCCTTGAGGCAACTGTGGCACTAGATATATAAAACTGAATTGAATTGAAGTAGGACTGGTCTGACAAAGTGATGTAGGCTAAAAGATCTCAAAAAGCAACACACTAAAGAAACTCAAGAACAGATGAGAAACAAAGTCATTGACACATGTCAGTCTGGGAAGGGTTACAAAGCCATTTCTAAGGTTTTGGGACTCCACTGAACAACAGTGAGAGCGTTTAACTACAAATGGAAAAATGCATTCAGCTGTCTGTGCATTGAGGCTCTCTGTGACTCGGGTTATGCAGCAGGACAATGAGTCAAAACAAGTACACCTCTGGATGGTTAAAAAACTAAAATGAAAGTTTTGGAGTGGCATAGTGAAAGTCTGGACTTAAATCAGATTGATATGCTTTGGCATCACCTTAAACAGGCCATTCATGATTGAAAACCCTCTAATGTGGCTAAATTCAAAATAATTCCGGAAAGAGAATTGGGCCAAAATTCCTTCACAGCGATGTAAAACATTGCAAATGCAATAGTGGCACGAAAAGTTACTTTTTTACACCGTGTATTCCATCCATCCTATAAGATGTAGAAATATAAAAAAAATTGTACTTCTGAATTTTCTGAATTATTTTAACAGCCAAACTGTTAAACTAAATGTGTCCAGTTTTAAGAAGGAAGTCATGAATTGCTGAAAAAGAATAGTGTTCTGTCTTCCTTTTGAAATGTTTCTAAATATGTCTGTAATTCTTACAGGTCGGATTGTTCACAGAAATAGGTCCCATGTCCTGCTTCATCTCTCGCCACGTGAGTCAGCAAGATATTTACAATTCTGTTTAATTAGTTGTCATTTAGTGCACTTTGCAGTATTTATGTTGTTTGTAATTCAATCTCATGATGCATTTCTTTTGCAGTCGATCCCCATAGAAATGGACTTTGACCCCAATTCTAATCCACCCTGTTATAAGACAGTTGATGAGGTATTGTTTCATTGTTAAGTTGAAACAATAATTGTGTTACAGAAACATGTATTAAAATACATTTCTCTTCTTTGCCTTTATTGGCTTTTAAAATAAAGTTAAAGTTATCATTATTATGTGTTTAAAAAAAAGTTTTCAGACATGTGTTCACATTATAGTGAAGATAAAGGTTAAAACACAAGTGTCAGTTTTGCATTTAAGGATGTTTCTTCCTCTTATTTTTAAGGACATTGTAATCCAGCAAGATGATGAGATCCGGCTGAAGATTGTGGGAACCAGAGTGGATAAGAATGACATTGTAAGTGTTTGTTCTTATTTTTTGAAAAACTACTTCACCCCAAGTTTGTTACTCTTCTTTAGTTAAGTACTTCATATAAACTTAAGCAGGAGTTAATTTCCTATAAATATAAAAGATGTTCATAGTTACAGGCTCTGAAAAGTTAAGGCAGTGCAGAAGTGCCTTACACCTAGTTTTGGTCACAGGATTGATTGTGCCACAACCAACTCATAGTTTATGACTGGGTTGTGGCTCTTCTCCTGAATTATATGTCTCACCTCAACATCAGTGCTGGTGTGGAAACGGGAAAAATCGAAACACAAAGCAAAGCGATCGCTGAGTTTTCTCCAGAAAGTTTTGCTTTTTTCCAACTCTTCCAGCATCTCCCTCTCTGTAATTGGGGAATCTCTGAGCTCCTGCACTAATATATTATTAAAATGGTGGTAAGGACTGACCTGCTTTTACCCTTGTGTCTTCAACCTGGGCTGCACAGGCTATGCCACGTGTGCCAGGTTACAAAAATCCCACCTGGTTTATCAGGGCCAGTGTAGTGTGTAGTTGATGGCACTATTGCGCCTTTTTGTGTATGTATTTCATTACAGACAAGCATACCAACTGCATGCTGCAGGATGTGGATAACGCTGTGTGTTGGTTGAATGCCGATTGGTTGACAAGTGGGCCAAAATGGGGAAGAGAGCGACCACAGAGTTCTCCACGAATAGGAGAAGTGTGGAAAAAAAACCCTCAAAATGTCAAAGATTAAAAAGTACAGCATTAAAAGTACAGACTGTAGCTGCAGTGGACACTTTTTCATTGTCTCTAGAACTCTGTTTCACTTCCTCTCGTATGTTAATTTGGTCCAACTGGCTCATCAACATCGCAGGCAAGAGTTGCCCATAGACGGGTTGCACCACCCACTTTGTACTCTGAACAGCAGACATTCTTTGCCAGTCGATGTGCTGTCTGCAAACTGCCAGTGCGCTACAACTGTCTTTGTTCAGGGCATACTTATTAAAGTGTATGGTTCAACAGTCAGATCACTTGTCACATCCAGTTTACAGACGCCAAGACGGTAACAGTGAAAAATCTCAGCTCAACAAATCAATGTGGGATGCCATTGTGCCTTCATCAATCTTTTATACTTAAAACTATATTAAAACAAAGTTTTCCTTGTTTTTCAGTTTGCCATTGGATCTCTCATGGATGATTATCTGGGTAAGTTATTAGACCACAGTACATTGTCAGATGGGTCATAGATCTGCTTTTTTGTTGTTGTTGGTTTAGTTTGGTTATGATTATTTGCACATAAAAACAACAAGAACAAACAAAAATAATGGTGTATGTTTTTTTTTTTTAAACTTACCATCTGTATTTTGTTTCAGGTCTTGTGAGCTAATTTTCTTCTGAGAAGCAAGAAACAGTGGGACTTTATTGCGTTGTATCTCAGTTTGTCTGTCTTAATTACTATTAAGACAGACAAATTACTATTTTTCTTCTGTTCTGGTATAGAGATGGGGGCCAAGCCCTATAGGCACATCATGTTATTATGCTGTACAGCCTACTTTTTTTTTTTTTATGGAAATGTTGTAAGAGTGTTAACAAATTTACTTAAAAATTGCTAACGAATAGAAGTATCCATATTTGTAGTGTTTGTTATTTTGAATGCTCATCATTCCTACATATTTTTTGCTTTTGCTGTAATAAAATATTTAATTTGTTCTTACATCCTTGTGTCAGTGTATGTTTATCTCCCTGTGTTAGCTACAAATGCTATTTGTGAAGGTACTAAGTTTTTAAGTCATGTTTGGATGTTTTGAAATGTGACCAGGCAGCTTTATCCATGCCGTTCAGAAGAATTGTGAACGCGGATATTTCAAGAACGCGCACGTCATTTGGCCGTAAATACGTCAGTGAAGCGCGCCGTCGTTCTTTCTTTCTCTCGTCCTGAAGATGGCGGCAGGGGTGAGTAAGATGGAGAGATGGCCAGCTATAGTGCTTACTTTTAGGTTTCCTGCTGCAATCCGCTAAAAATCAGATGCATCTGCCCTCTTACTGAGTAGCTTTTCACACAGACATTGCTTTCTGAGTGTTTTCTAGCTTTTATAGGGGATATTTATAAACAATACCATTCAGTATTCCTCCTAACACAGGTTAGCTGTTGCTAACGATGCATTGTAAGTGGAAGACTCCGCTCTCTTAGCTCAGGGTTGTGCCACGTTACCTTACCTATTCATCACTTTGAAAACCTCCTCCTCACATCATACGCTTTTTTTTTTAACCTGAGGGTATCGCTACATTTCAGTTTATTTAGTCTAAATTCTGCCATATATTTAAATTTATTCTCCGAAGTTAAGCGACTCGGTGTTAAGGAACAGCTTTTTTGTCAAGAGAGCGTTTTAAGCCACGTGAAAATAATTTATTTATTTTAGATAACTGGTTAACAGAAATGCAGTATTCCGTGCAAGTCAGCATGTATTTCAGCTTCATCATGCTCCATAGCCTAATCAGCCAGATTTTAATTGGTCCACCCTTTTAATTTGGATGGGATCCTTTTATTTGTGACCATAAAACAAATTAAATGCTGCCTCTTAACGGGTTTGATAGATTGCTTACCAATTTTATCCAAGTTTACATGCCTTAAGTAGTATTAGAAAACCGACAGAAGCCTGTTCAGGACTCGGTATATAAATTAGTAAAACACCAGGCTATTTCCTGAAAGTCATTCATAGGCCAATCAAATGGTTAGACATCCAGCTTGAAAAGGTGTGGTGCATATATATGCAGTTTGCTTTTAAAAACAGTTGTCTTCTGTCCTTTCAGACTCTGTACACGTACCCAGAGAACTGGCGGGCCTTTAAGGCCCAGATTGCAGCCCAGTACAGTGGTGCTCGCCTCAAAGTTGCCACGAGTGCCCCTGCCTTCACCTTCGGGCAGACGAACCGTACTCCTGCCTTCCTCAACAACTTCCCTCTGGGCAAGGTAAGTACAGCTGGCTTAATCAATTCAATGTATCAATTCCCTTAAATATGCATTTTTGCTTTGCTTTTAGAGCCTCTCTTTTTTTCCTTCCCACACGAATAAGGTTGACTCGTTATTTGTCAAATGCAACTTATGAGCTGGGATTTAACCAGTTTGACAACACACCCTTTTATGTTTCGTAGCTAACAGATCTGCACATGCACCGCTTTGTTCTCTGACTTAAAAACACATTGAATGTGTTCAAATGAGTAGTTGTGTCATTTGTAGGTACCTGCCTACCAGGGAGATGACGGCTTCTGTCTGTTTGAGAGTAATGCCATTGCTCACTACTGTAAGTCTCACATTTAATAATAATTAAGTGGCTTGAATTCTACACTCTTGTTTTAGAAAATTGCTCAGGGATGCAGTTAATTCGGTCTAGAATTTGTGATGGGATACAGCACTCAATCAGCAAAACATTTAAATTCACAGGACATTTCTTGACTCAAGGGTTTATCATCATATAGATGGGTCAGACGACATTACTAGTTATATCTATACAGTTTTACCTCTAGTGTATCATTTCATTGATGTGCACAATGTATGATAATTAAGAAAATCTTAAAATGCTGAAGTTGTACTATAATTTTTTTTAAAAATCAGAACGACTGTGAAACCATAACAGCAACTTTCCTTTTTAAAATCTTGTGTGCGTAGTGAGCAATGATACCCTACGCGGTTCCACTCCTCAGGCGGCAGCCCAAGTGCTGCAGTGGGTGAGCTTCGCTGACTCAGAGATCATCCCTCCTGCCAGCGCATGGGTCTTCCCCACTCTGGGAATCATGCAGTTCAACAAGCAGGTATACAGCTCAGTGTTTCTTAGTTGAAACAATGGCTTCCTAGAGGACTGCACCCTGTTGTTGCACCTTGGTACTGGAAAATAAGATTTACAGTCATTTTTCTTTCTTTTTCTTCCACTGTCCAGGCCACCGAGCAGGCCAAGGAGGATGTGAAAAAGTTCCTTGCTGTGCTGAACCAACACCTGAACACCCGTACCTTCCTTGTGGGAGAGAGGGTCACCCTTGCAGACATCACCGTGGCCTGCTCCATGCTCTGGCTCTACAAACAGGTTTGTCACAGACGGCTGCACCTTGCGGTACCTTGGAGCCTAACGGCAATACTTCATCTCTGTAATGAAATTTGGGGAGGAAGTTGCACCAGAAGCCATTAACACCTCACTGGTCCCTGTAGGTCCTGGAGCCTTCTTTCCGTCAGCCCTATCCCAATGTGACCCGCTGGTTTGTCACCTGTGTCAACCAGCCACAGTTCAAGGCTGTCCTGGGAGAGGTCAAGCTGTGTGAAAAGATGGCCCAGTTTGACGGTGAGTCACCAGCAGTTAGATCAGAAGGCATACATGTTAGGCAGTATGAACTCGTAGCCTAAGTGTCTGAAATGTTTAAAAGCAAAACTCCACACCATTGTTGTTTAAATGATAGTTGGAAAAGCTGCATTCACTGCTAATATTTGAGTTATTTGCACAATTGGATTCTTCAAAAATAATAGTAATACTGTATCACTTTGACAACTGAATTTCGTGGGTAATTATCTTCCAATCACCTCGCTGGTGAGGGATCTCAGAGTAGAACCCAATTTAAGAATCTAGTATTACACCCGATCGTGCTGCCAAGTTTAAGGTGCACAATGGAGTCGGGCCATACTTCACACTGACCCCCCCTCCCCCCCTCCAGCATTGTCTTTGAGGCTATTTGAAGTTTAAAAAAAATAAATAAAGTTTGCATATCTGGTTTAATTCATTCCAATACTAACACAGCTAAAATCAGCCATTGTTGGGCAAATGATTTGAGGGCAGGCTCCTTTCCAATGGATACAAAACCAAAGACGGAACATGACTTTCACTGTTTTGTTCCTCCAGCCAAGAAATTTGCTGAGATGCAGCCCAAGAAAGAGACTCCTTCCAAGAAAGAGAAGGGAGGAAAGGAGGCTGGCAAGCCCCAGGAGAAGAAAGAGAAGAAGAAGGAAGAGAAAAAGGAAGAGAAGAAGCCTGATCCTGAAGAGGAAATGGATGACTGTGATGCTGTTTTGGCTGCAGAGCCTAAAGCCAAGGACCCCTTTGCACACCTGCCAAAGAGGTAGAGAGATTTTTTTTTTTCTTGTGTGTATACATTTCATCATTCAGAATTTGTTTCGCTGTAAGCTCACACCTTGTATGGTAATTAAAAATCTATAATGTGGAGTCAATCTGCAAGTGTTGGGTGTGACCCTTTACCCCAGTAGTTTTCCCTAAATGCTTCTCTGCCTTTAAGAGTGTTAATCAGTTGGTGAAGGCCTATTTCTCTATTGTGCATCTGTAGCAGTCTTTGGCATGTTGATCATTTAAAACTCGTTATGTGGTTTCACATGTTGAGTTTTGACATTCCTATGCTCTCGACTCTGTGGAAAGATGGTCCCCTATCATTTGGCAAGACTGTGCCCATTTAATGGCACCAAGTCTTAATCTAACAGGGGAAAATAAAATCAAGACCACATTCATCCCAGTCATCTCTGAATTCAGTGAGTAAAAGGCTGGTTCATGCTGTGGCCACAAACAGAATGTAACTTTGAGATGCATAGTTGCCCTTCAAGGTTGACTGTATATCTGTGTGTCAGCTGGCTTAGGTCTGATTATTTATTTTATTTTTTTATTTTTTTGGGGGGGGTGGACTGTGCAGACTTGTCTGCAGAGAAATTTACATTACAATTTGCAAACTATGCGTATACCCCAGGCAGTGGACTTGGAGAAGTATAAAAGGAACGACTACTTGGTCACGTCGTCTCCAGCTGTCCATGTCTGCAACAGAATATAATCAAGGCTTTATGGTATTTAAAGATTCTCTTTGAAGTAAAGATGGTGGAGTCATGTGGGTATTTATAAGCTCGGGTTATTGTCAGTGGCAAATCCTGGCTTTAAACGTCCTTTTATAGTCCTGTAGGACCCAGAAAATAGTTGTAGGCATTCAGTAACTGTTCCTACATTAATTTATTTTTTTCCAGTGATCTCAATCTAATTTCTGCACCTTGTTCTCTTCACCTTGCATGTACACGGATCACATAACTTGTGTCATTTCCTTTTTTCATTTTAGCGCATTTGTTATGGATGAGTTCAAGAGAAAGTATTCCAACGAGGACACCTTGACCGTAGCCATTCCCCACTTCTGGGAGCACTTTGACCGTGAGGGCTACTCAATCTGGCACAGCCAGTACAAATATCCCGAGGAGCTCACACTTACCTTCAAGAGCTGCAACCTTATCACAGGTGAGACTCAGCAGCAGCCATTTTATAAAACACCTTTGGTCTCATTAGTATCTAAAGTTACTTTATTATTATGGTTGTTTATTGGTTGGAAAGCAAACGCAGAAAAGGCTTTATTTTCTTCCCTGGTCTTACATCTTTCTTTGCTACTTCATGTGCTGGCATGAATTTCCTCCATCTGTTTAGGTTTGCTCCTATGGCCCAGGAACGAGTTGGGATCAGAGGCAGTCGTGTGCATATGGGAATTTTTCTGAAAGTCTGTAGACTTCTAAGACGGCTCTCATGTAGCCTTAAAGAGGGGATTAGAGGAGACAGTGCTGGGACTTGCTACACAAGACAGATCATTTTAAATGCATCTTAACTTGTGTTCTTGTTGACTGCAGTGGGTACTGCTGGTTTTCTCAGTCCTGGTGTAGATTTAGGTTTTAGTCTCATTTAAATCATTT